CCCAGCAAGCTGTGTCGAAGAGGCTGAAGTATAATGAAATACAGACATATTAAGGTCAAGTACAATGACTGCTGTCAGTTTCCTCACAACCACCTTTCTCTTTAAAACAGGGATAACTTCAGCAATAGAAACTAAGGCATCTTATACCCATATCAGATTATCTCCTTAGCTGCATTTCTCACTGGGTGGCCTCTTGGAGGGGGTGGGAGATACACGACTTGTAGAGTATACAGTCTGAGGGAGGGTGTCATGCCCTAATTGGCATGTCAACCAGAGGCAGCCGCCTGCCAACTGGGCTGATTTCAGAGGCTAATGTGGGTTGGACCCAGTTAAACCTTGGATGTGAGACCACGAAGAACTGCCAAGATGTTGGGCCAGATGAGGAAATTGGAAAACCATCCTCGGAAGAAGGAGGTTCTTCCAAGGATGGAAGAGAAGAAGGAAACCAGTTCTGCAACACAGCCAGGACGACTGCATGAATAATATCCAAGTGGGCCCCACAATGCTCTCTGGAGTTCCTTCCTCAATTATTATAGCACTAGCTCGATTCCCGTGCTTCGCTACGAAACTATGTGGTTGGGCTTAGTTTTTGGGGAGGAAAATAAGGGTGGGTCTGCCTCTGCCTACCAGCATCCATCAGTACTCATCTGGCTATCGTTCTGACAGTGTGTGAGAGAGTTGAGGGCTGTTTGGAAACTGAAACAGTATTTGCTGTGTGAGCAAGGAGACAGCAAGGAGTCTGGGCATGGCTTAGCTCTACTGTTCTGTACTAAAGCTGCTTGCTCCTGTGAAACTAAAACTGAAACTCCTCTCGTCTGCTTGTGTTTTGCATTTGGAACAGATTTCTTTTCAGGTGGGGAGGGGGAGTAGAACTCCTTAGCATCAGAGCGTGTTAATAATAATAATATACAAAATATTAATGCTCTGATGGTCATTTCGAAAAATCCTTTCTTAGTGAGCACCTAGAAGCCAAGAGGAACATAAGTGCCAAATTTCAAGTTTGTAGGCTTTACGGTTCTGGAGATTTTGTGATGATGCGTGAGTGGTCTTTCGCTTTTATATATGTAGATAATAATAGAGTTGGAAGGGTTTTCTAGTCCAATGCCGTGCCCGAGCAGGAGACCCTACATCATTCTGGACAAACGGCTATCCACCCTGCACAACCAATGTCTTGTAGGCACAAGGATCGTTCAGGACCAGTGACTATTCCTGCCTGGGGAATCTCCTGGGCCTCTCAGCTGCCCTCCCCCCTCCTTTAAGGGAATGTCAAGGCAGCCCCTCCATCTATAGCTAACCTTCTCCCTTCTGTGCCTTCTGTATCTCCCCACAGCTGCAGGCTCCCCGCATGATTCATTACAAAATGCAAACAGACCACAATTATTTACAAGTTGAAAAGCCAGCGTGGAACTGATGTCTGTTTCTAGAAGAACCTAAATGAGAACAAATTCCTCTTGGTTGAAGAGAAAAATGCGACTCTGTCCCTTTCGCTGGCTTTCTCTTATTTCTTTCGACACATCTGCAAGCATAAAGTTTGCTGCAAGCTGAAGCAAGAAACCACCTACTTAAGAGACACCTGAGGATACCTTCATCCTTGTTTATAAAGGGTAATAGCCCTCTGCCATAAAAACATTAGAGCAATATACAATAAAAAATATGGATTTATGGATTGTGGTGAAATCAACCACACCAATATTTACAGCCCATAATCAACATTCTAGCAGGCATTACTCAAGGCAGATCCCGAACTGTTACAGTAATATTGTGCGGTTTCTGCCTCAGAAAACACAACATTTGTGTGCCTTAGCACCTCTGGCGGACAAAAAGACAGCGATTTTAATCATTGGCTGGCAAAATTTTCACTCCTGGGAAAAATGTCATTTCCCAGGCCTTTAGGAGAAGGAAGCCATTGGTGAGCCAATAGGATGCGTGGGTCACATCGATCTGGTGCATAGGGATTGGAACCAGTAATTTAATATTGTACAACTCATGAGATGTTACTTAATATGCTTTGTTTCAAAAAGGAATCAAGACAAGACTGGACAGCCACTTGTCTGAAAGTGGTATAGGGTTTCCTGCTTGGGCAGGGAGTTGGACTAGATCAGTGGTCGCCAACCAGTGGGCCGGGGACCACTGGTAGTCTGCAAGAAAATGTTTGTGGTCCGCAGAGAAATGTCACCCTCAAAGCACTCCCCCCAAAGCAATTAATCCAGGCTGTGCGGGAACACAAGGCTTGTGGCGCTTGCATTGCGAACAACACGAGGTAGTGAGGGGAGAGGGGAAAGGGTGGAGGGAGGAAACTTGCCCCACTCGCCCCATATGCCTTGCCTGGCCACTGGGTTGCTTCTTTCTGCTTCTTTCTTCTTCTGCTTTTGGCTGCACGCAAGGAAAGCAGCAAGAGTCTTTCTCTCCCCTAAACTCTGCCAGGAGAGAAAGAAAGACTTCTGATGCTTCTGCTGTTTTCCTTGCATGAATCCAAAAGTCTCTCTCTCTCTCTCTCTTCTCCCCCTGAAAACACAGCTGGAAATGGTATCCTGCGATCCCAAATAAAAAATGATTGATCTGCAGACAGAGACCCTGGGAAAATCCCCAAAAAAGTCTGCAGGCAAATCCCCCCCCCCCCCCGTTTTCCTACCCATCGCAGAATACTCTCTCTCTCTCTCCCTCTCTCTCCCTCCCTCCCTCCCTCCCCCCCTCCCTCCCCCTCCCCCCCTCTCTCTCTCTCTCTCTCATCCATTGGATCGTTGAGGTCCACAATAGACTTGTTAAAAGTCTTAATAAAGGCCAGGAGGTTGGGACATTCCTTATCTTGTGTGGCGGCGTGTTCTAAGGAGTAGGAGCAGCTACTGAGAAAGTTTGTTGCTGGGCTCCCACTCCCTTACGTCTCGTGGGATAGAGGCCATCCTTCAGTAATTGCATGGGACAGAACGAAATTGAGTGGGACAGGCCCACAGTTAGCTGGCTGCAAAGCCACGTAAGGCTTTCATGATAATAACCAGCCCTTTGGTTCAGACCCAGAATCAAGCCATAGTAACTAATGCAACAATTGCCTCATAGGAATAACAATGCTGAATAACAATGCTGAACCTCCCCCAGTTAGTAGCTAAACCATTATATTTAGTACCACCTGAAGCTTCCAAATCATCAAGGGCAAGTCAACTTGCAATGTTTAGTACCAGTGGTCTATCCATACATTGTTGATGATGAGTCATTGTTGTTGCGGCACCTTAGTGTGAAATGATATGCAACTGGCACACCAGCCAGAGTTGGGCAACACACACACCCCTGCCTCACCCCCGCAAGCCATGATTAACACATTTTGCTCGAGCAGGGACTGAGAGTCCTGGAAGATTTCCAAAAATGCATCATACACTGAAGTAAACACAGGTATAGCAGGTCCTCTCTGCATACACCCATTAGAAAGGCCCACTCAGAAAGCAATGGTATCGTGTCCCCAAACCACCATCGTTCCAGATGTCCAGACAGATGCCGTTTGTCAACGCTATAGAACAAAGGTCCTCAAACTTGGCAGGTTTAGGGCTTGTGGACTTCAACTCCCAGAATTCCTGAGCTAACATGACTGGAGGGGGAATTCTGGGAGTCCACAAGTCTTAAAGCTGTCAAGTTTGAAGACCCCCTGCTACAGAAGGCCTCCAAGGACACCATTCTCTCCTTATCACTTTCTGATACGGCCATACTTTGAATAGCCTTAGTTCCCTGATGTTTATCTTTGCACAAAATGCTAAGCCATAAGCCATGATTTGAAACCACAACTTGCTAAGATGAAACGAACAGGATGCCCATGGTTTATAGCAACACAAGGACCCAGTTTCTCGTCGCAAAAGACCTCTGGGGCAAATGGATGGAGTCTGTGGACAGCCTTAGATGAGGCGGAGAAAAACCAGTTCCTGGTCATTTACAGTTTGAGCCAAACATTTTCAGTCCCTGCCATGTTGTTCCTTCCCTGAAGTAGTCTAATTCAGAGTTAGCGGAAGACCAGAAGGTCATGCCATATCCCAATTTACATGCCAAGACCACCCTATTCAACACCTTTAAAAGTAAATCACAGGATATTTTAAACCAAGAGTGCTACACAAATGACTTGATTCACAGCCCAGCTATGTGCAGCCAGGGAATGCAATATCAGTGAGAACCACGAAAATTTTAAATCAGAGGAATAATACTTCTCTATAACCAGATATGTGGAAAAAAACTCACAGATTTAAGAAGGTTTTGAAGAACTCCAGAAAGTTCTTTTCTCCTCCTCAAGCCATGCTGAGCTTCCTCCAGAACAGGCAACATCCAGAAATAAATTTTCTGAACTAGAAAAAAGGTTTGTGTTTCCCAGACAGTGTTCTACAATGCTCAGAAATGTTCCTTTTCCTGAATCACAAAGTTTTGGCTCGGGAAGGGAACTTCACACACGTTCCTTCTTTACTCTTGTAATTAACATTTCCATCATGAAGAGGCAATGCCTACTGACCCAGATTGTCCTTCTCACTCTAAAAATATAAATGATAATTGAGTCAACTCTGGGAAAAGATCTCAAGAGGCGCACTTCAGCAATTGTTTTTTGTTTTGTTTTGTTAAAACCAAAGCAAACAGGCCCTTCAAATAACATGTAATATTTAGCTTTCAAAGTATAGAGGCAGCCAGCTTTCAAAGTATAGAGCAGGGGTGTCCAATCTTGGCAACTTTAAGACTTGTGGACTTCAACTCCCAGAATTCCTCAGCCAGCAAAGCTGGCTGAGGAATTCTGGGAATTGAAGTCCACAAGTCTTAAAGTTGCCAAGGTTGGACACCCCTGGTATAGAGGCAGCCAGCAATTTCTGAAATTTAAGGATCAAACTTCAATCTGAAAGCGTGTTGCTGATGTGTGCACTTCACATTTTTTATTCTTGTTAGGTTAAGCAAACGAAGCAGTACTTTATGACTATCCTTATTATTTTGGACGCTCAAGACTGGGAAATTCCCAGGACATGTTAATTACAAATTGTACCTACCATTTCTGACAGGTTTTTGGAAAACTAGAAGTAGAAAACATGTCCCCTTTACGTTTCTCTGCCATAATGCATTTGCTTCTTGCTGACTGGTTCACCATGAATTCTGGTCTGCTGCTGTTTCCACCTTAAAAAGAATAAAAATAACAGAGTTCAAATGTGGTCAAGTTGCACAAATGCAACTGGAATTGGACTATTCCAAGAAAGAAAAGAAAAAACCTAGCAACCCCCCCCCCCCCAATTTACTCATTAGTAGATAGATTGCTTGTCTTTATATTCAATTAGACAGTAGAGATCAAGAGCAAATTCACTGCTGCTCATTTGTCCAAAGCTTCTGCATAAATGTGTCAAATCAGAGAGAGTTCAAAGCTTTTGGTGACTTTCAAATGAGGATATATGGATGTGCCGTAGTTTTAACTGAGTCATCACTGCTATAAATACCAATCTCGCCTTTAAATAGATGTAAAACTTAATGAAATAAAGCCTGAATGTTATCCTATCACATTTCTCTTTCTGTTCCTTGAAAGTCTCCCAGTGAGCTAGCAATCTGGGAGGGTGTCTAAGGATGATCTTGGAATAGGGAATACCTCTGAGGAACCCAAAGGACATCTGTTTCAACAGCTCCCCTCTCAAACTGACACCATTCGTTTGAACTCAGTTTTAGTTATCCTTCTTCTTTCCAGTTTTAGAAATGTTCTACATCAGAGGTCGGGCCGAGGGGGGAGGGTTGGGGGAGGGGAGGGGAGAAGGGATGGTTCTGTGTGAGCAAGCAGCCATGTGTGTTCGAGCACACAGCTCCATTTGCACGAGTGGGTGGGTGGGTGCCTGCCGCTCGCACAAATGGACTTTTGCAAGCAAGCAGGTGCTCCCGTCCCTCGTGCCAAAGGGGCTGTGTGCACACTCATGTTCACTCGCCACTTGTGCAGGTGAGCCTGCGTGCACACACTTGCCCCACCACTTGTACGGCCCGGTCCCGTACAGGCCTCCGCTCGGGTGTTGGGGACCCCCTATTCTACATAATGGCTCCTTTCTTTTGAATTCCCTTTAAAGGGAGGGGCATTAGAAATTTCTGAACAATATTTGTTATTTGTTCCATGGGCTCCCTGACATGCAGGTTAGCTTTACTTCCATGGCAAGAAAAAAAAAAAAATTACAGGTAGTTCTCGACTTACAACAGTTCATTTAATGTCCGCTCAAAGTTACAATGGTACTTTTCTAAAAAGTGACTCGTGACTGTTTTTTCAATACTTATGTCCGTCACAGCATCGCCAAGGTCATGCGATCAAAATTCAGAACTCCTGGAACTGATTCATATTTATGATGGTTGCAGTGTCCCTGAGTCATCTTGTGATAACCCAAAGGGGCGTGGCACAAAGGCAACACAGTCAGATAATCATTAGGAGTCCCTTTATTAGCTCCAACTTTGTCCCCCAATGTCCTGGTTACTTTCTGGCTGGAGAAAAACTCTCCCAGGAACAGCCTTTGGCTGCAGAGAATTAAGTCCAAAACGTGGTCAACAAAAAACTGTAACTAAAAATCCAATCAAGGCAAGTTGAGGTAATTAGTCCGGCAGGGCAGGAGCAAGAATTCCAGGCAGTGAAGGCACGGCAATAACTCAACACAGATGCCAGGAACACAGATAACTAAAGTCAACACAAGATAAACTCGCGTTTGCTCCCAGCAGCTGCCGCACTCAGCATGCATTTCTTTTAAACTCTCATACCCAGGTGTGGCTAATGAAGGGAATCAGGGCCCTTTCCTCCCCTGTAAGCCATGCACCCACGTTGCTCTCTTCTCTGTTCCTCCCTGAGTGCCCTAGGATGAAGAGGGGGTGGGCCTGGGTCTTCCTCTGAATTCCCTCTCCCTTGTTCTACCTCTCCCCTACTCTGCCCAGCCGGACTCTGCCCTTCCCCAGTTTCCTCCGCAGCCAACGGAGCCACACTCCCACTCCCTGTCAGCTGTTTGTCTTCCTCCTCAGATTCAGACTCCGACAGGGGCATGACACATCTGATCACTTTTTAGTTAACCTTCTTATAATCCAAGTTAATGGGGAAGCCAGATTCACTTAAGAACCGTGTTACTAACTTAACAACTGCAGTGATTCACTTAACAAATGTGGCAAGAAAGGGCATAAAATGGGGAAAACTCGCTTAAAAAATGTTTCACTTAGCAATAGAAATGTTGGGCTCTATTATGATCATAAGTCAAGGACTGCCTGTATTTGTAGACCACCATAACTGGATAAAGGAGCTTTCTAATGGGCCCAGGACTCTGATTTCTGGCTCTCTCAGTACCAGTAGCAACACGTACTACACGATAACACAATTTGGCTCACAGAAACTGAACCAATGAGACTTCTTCTGACATGAACAATCATGAAGGAAGCTCCAATTTGGACATGTCATCTTGCTGCTCCAATTATAGTTAGTATTGCTCCCAAGCCAAACCAAAACACCCATTCGCAGCCAATGGAGGCGGCAAGACCAGAGTAATTATCCAGGGCGTGAGAATGGGAGTGGTTGCAGAATGAAAACAAGACCTGGCTAGATGTTAAGACTGATTTTTGAAGGTGGCATCCTCATACAAGTCTTATTTATGCAGTGCTGAGGAAGGCCTGGCTACTGGTTGTCTTCTTAGGTGATGCCTTCCACGAGGCGTAGCTTGGCGAGTGGGTGGCCAGAGAAGTTGAACAAGCAAATAAACTAGTCCAAACCTGATGAATTTGAGTAACCTGCCACGCCATAAACAATGGTTTTCTGACTGGATTCATGCAGCATGCAAACTGCATCGTAGCTTAGCTCTATGAAGAAACCTAGTTTATAGATCAAAAGCTGAAGTAACCATTACCACATTCCTATGCATACTGATACAGCAATTTGTTGGGTTTGGACTTAAATACTGAATTGTAAATCATCATTGTAGCCTAGAACAGGGGTGTCCAACCTTGGCAACTTTAAGACTTGTGGACTTCAAGTCTTAAAGTTGCCAAGGTTGGACACCCCTGGCCTAGAACAACATGTGAATCCAGCAACAGCTGCCTCAGTCAGCACATATTTAGCACAAGGAGTGAACCAGTCTGCCTTTCATGCATGAATTCATGCAAAGAGATCCTGCATCTTTATACGTAAATAAATTATTCTTTTTGTGGGAGCTCTTAGCTCTACTTAATTATAATCTTGAGTATCTACTTAACTATGTAATACTTTAGTTCCTTTGCTTCCAGTTTGTGACCAAATCCTTTCAAGTTCTCCTTTCAATTTCCTAGCTCTACATTATAACATCAAGCAAGCAATAACAAATATTAACGAAGGCATATCTTTAAGTTAGAATGACTCTATAGTTATTGCAAGCAACAGAATGACAGAATGCCTCGACGTACAAAAAATAAAAAAGCTCGAAACACCCGCCCACCTTTGCCAGGATTTGCCTTATACAGGTAGTCCTTGACTTACGACCAAAATGAAGCCCAAAATTTACATTGCAAAGTCGGACATTTCTTAAGTCGATTTTGCCCCATTTTTGTGACCTTTTGTGAATCGTGACCTTCCTTGCCACCGTTGTTAAGTGAATCTCTGCAGTTCTCAAATTAGTAACCCGGTTGTTAAGTGAGTCTGGCTTCCTCATTGACTTTGCTTGTCAGAAGGTCGTGAAAGGGGATAACCCCCGGGACATTGCAACCGTCATAAATGTGAGTCAGTCGTCAAGCATCCAAATGCAAATCACATGACCATGATGGGATGCTGCAACGGTCATAAGTGTGAAAAATGGTCATGTCACTTTTTTCAGTGCCCTTGTAACTTTGAACTAAGCGAACTGTTGTAAGTCGAGGACTACCTGCACTGTCCTTCTACTAGAAGTTGAGGAGAAAAATATCAATTGAGTTAATCTACAGGAGAAATGTCACTTGTATACTTACAATTTATGTTGACTGTTTCCTAGTATGATTGATTGCTTATTGTACCCTATCACTATCATTAAGTGTCGTACCTTATGATTCTCGACTCCTGATGAATGTATCTTTTATTTTACGTATACTGAGAGTATTTACACCAAGACAAATTCCTTGTTTGTCCAATCACACTTGGCCAATAAAAAAAGTATTCTATGCTATGTCACAGCTTCTACCTTATTGCTCTTTTACTTCTCCATTATCTATCTATCTATCTATCTATCTATCTATCTATCTATCTATCTATCTATCTATCATCTATCTATCTATCTATCTAATCTATCTCTATCTATCCATCTATCTATACGCATGCACACACACACACACACAGAGAGAGAGAGTGTATTGCTATCTATTCTATGAATCAGTTTGGTACGTAGGCAGTCTTTGACTTACAACTGGTTGCTTAGCAACTGTTTGAAGTTGGACCCCCCAAATGGTACTTACAACCTGGATTTAAAGTACCGATAGCTGCCCACTCCCCAAGTCACATTTTGGACAGCTAGCAATTATCTTGGATTTACAGTTGCTTGCAAATGGCTGTGATTTACAGCTTTTTTTTTGGCCAGAAACTGGTATTTACATCCTGGACCATGGCTTCACTTAACAACAGAGGTATTTGCTTAATGGCCACTGTGTTTATTTAATGACTGTCCAAAAAAGGTAATGAATTTGGATTGGTCAGGTGAATGCCTCGACTTATAATCGTCATAACAATGCAACAGAAATTCTGGACTCCATTGAAGTCATAAATCAAAGGGTATCTTAGTGGTGAAAGTGCTGGTCTAGAAGCCTAGGATGGTGAGTTCTAATCCTGCTTTCACTGAAAGCCAATTGGATGACTTTGGGTGGGTCATTCTCTCTCAACCCAACCTATTGCAGAGGGCTGTTGCTATGGGGAAAATAGAAGGAAGGAAGGAGTTAATGTATATGTTTGCTGCCTCGAGTTACTTATAAAGTAATAAAGATGGGATAAAAAAATTTAAAAGGCTAAAAGTACTTTAAAATAAAATCATATAAAACAAGATGTCTGCTGGTCTAGCCAAACAATAAATGCTGCCATGTGAACTCTTAAAGAAGCATTTCAGTTCCGTATATCACAATACTTCATAAAATGCTCAATACACAAGAGCAGTAAGTAAACAATTGTCTGATTAAATCCACTCAATCACCCACCCTAAAAGAGAAAAGAAAGAGAAGCTTCAGCATAAAAGGAGCAAAGCTGCTAAAAATACAAGGTTCTAAATTAGTAAATAAAAGCTAGCCTGCACTAAAACAAAGTGTTTTTAGGTACAAAGAAAAAATCTGAAATGCTAGCTGGCTTAGGTTTTTTGGCCATGTCTTGCTCTAGTTTTCTTAATAACTGATTTAAATAGTGTGTTAAAGGACCAATCAATAAAATAAGGTTTACAGCAATGTTTGTAATCTGGAATTACATCAAGAGACTCCATCATTTTGGCACTAATGAAATGCTTTGTGCCAGAGGGTGGCAAAGATTGACAAATTGGAAGGGAAAATAACAACAAAACAAAGAAGCAATCTATGATCCCAAGCAGGTAATAAGACAGATGTTATTCAACCAGATATTATGAAACTTAAGGTACAACATAATCACTGCTTTGCATCCACGCCCATTATCTTTCCAAAGAATTCTGAAAAACCATATAAGGGTACAAGGGAAACAAATAATCAATGTTTGAAAGCAAAGCAAGCAAGCAGAGGATCCTTAATAATAAAAAAACCCTCTCAATCCTCACACACACACACACACACACACACACGAAACTGTTGCTGCTATGAAAAATGACTTTATGTACATTTAATTGGGGGCACACATGTGAATGAACTCAAAAAGGAAACCTTATATACCATCCATCCTTTCGTTACTGCGTTTGTCACAGTCCAGAAATGTATAACTCTTGACATGCAAACAAACGAAGGGTAAAACTAAATTTAATTAATCAGTGTCGGTGTCTTGGCTCAGCAGATAGTTCCTGGCAGAGTAATTTGTGACAGCAGAGAGCTTCCATCAGCAACCATCTCCAACACCGCTGAATAAAAATAATAGTCAAGGGATGCAACAATGACAAGAAACACACCTCCGTTTGTGTCGTGAAGTTATGCCGTTTTCAAAACACTTACCGGTCTCTATAATGCACTCTTCCTATCCTTCCAAGGACTTTTAGACCGTCCCAGAAAAAATATCTGAGCAGGTGATCAGGGTTAAAAGAGTAAAAGTGACTTGGAGAAAGAAGTTTTATTTTTTTTCCCCTTATAAAAAGTAACAGTCACACCCTGAGGCTGATAGCAGAAAAACTCAGCGAGTTGGGGTTGGTTTCAGTGGCTTCTGCCAGAGCCAATAACTACCTCAAGGAGAACACCTTTACTCCACTGGCCAGAGGGAAAAATCCACCTCCTTCAACGGGCACGTGACTCCCATATGCGGCCAAGGAAGTTCTTAGTCTTAACGTTGCTGCCAGGATGGCAGAAATCTCATGCTCCTATAAGAACTTGTGCGTTTCCTACACACACACACACACTGGATACGGCTCCTCGACCTCCTTTCCCAACTAATTTAAAGGCAATTTCTTTAGTTGGACTTTGGCTGGGAAGTACAAAGATGCCGCCTCGTCCAAAGTCCAAACCTGTGGCAAACAGGGCGCTTAATCCATAAACATAATCTCTAAGCAAACTTTGGATTCACAAACAGATCCCTCTCTTCTCTCTGACCACAAAGCAGTTCCCAGCCCATCTAAGTCTTAGATAAAATCTGTTCACAGATTTTAGGAGAACCGTGGGGCCTGAGAGGTCCCACAGTTCTCCTAAAATCTGTGAGCAGGCCTGAGCATTTTTCATGTCCGCAACCATACATGAGGGTAAACCATACTCTGTGACATGCATCCTTGGACTGGGATGCTTTTAAATTCTCCTTTATTTCGTTTCCTGATCCTGAGGCTGTGCCACAAATGTATGATGAGCTGCAAGCAGTGGGGGAAATAAATGGGGGGGGGACCCCACATCCCTCTGTATTTAGCCCACAAAGGAAGAAAAGCGGAGGGTTGGAAAAGGAAAACAAAAAAATAAAAACCCACTGATGGTAACATGGATTTAATGTTCATTTCAGCCTGGAAAGAGGCACATTTTAGTTTTTTCCCTTCACCCACTGTATTAAGTGGCAGGAGTCTGGTCCTTTCTTTTCCAACTTGCAGGTTTTATTCAAAGATAAAATGACACCCAAAGCCCCCATCGGTTCTCTTCCTACAATCCCCCCCCCCCCAAAAAATCCCAGTGAGAATCCCAGAATCTAGCAGGTCCCGCCTGGCGGAGCCCAAATCAGAGTCAGAAGGGGTCCCCATGAGCACATCCAAACCCTCCCCGGCTGGCTCCCTGGATCCAAAATTGTCTCTCTCTTAGGAAACTTCTTCCAATGTTTTTTTCCATGTCTTTTTCCATGCCTGGCTTGACCTGCGAGGCATCCTCTCCCTCCCAAGGTTAAATCTTCCCAATGCCTCCCTCCGTTGGGAATTCCCCAGAAGTAACGCTCTTCCTTTTTCTCCTTTCTTCTTTTTCCTCGTCTTCTTTTCCCTCTTTTTCTCTTTCCCTTCTTCTTCCTCCTTCTCTCCTTACTTTTCTTTCATTTTCTCTTCCCCCCCTTCCTCTTCTTCTTTTTTCTTTCTTTTCCTCTTCTCTTCCTTTTCAAGGTTGCCCGAGGCTATCTACTCGCGCCCGCCTTGGCAGGCAGCAGGGCAACAGGTGCAGCCTGACCCGCACGGCGAGAAAACGGAGCACCGCTGAAGGTGCGGGGGTGGGGAGAGCGCCGTCAGCCCCCGCCGCCTGCCTCTCCTCCTTCCCTCCCTCGATCCGACGCGCGTTCACACGTACCCTTGTCCCAGCGGAGGTTCCGTCTAGCCGACCCGACAGCACCCCGGCCCCTCCGCGCGTTCCCGTCGCGCGACAGGTCCGGAAGTGAGGTCGCCGCCGGCAGCAGCGGCAGCGGCGGCAGCAGCACTAAGCCGCGCGCGCCCCCTCCCCTCCCTCCCCTCCCCTCCGCCACCCGCCCTCCCCCGTGGCACGCAACTCGCAGACGGCAGCACGCAGCACGCACGCACGGACGCGCGCCCGCCCCCACCCACTAATCTCGGGGAGAGAGAGTGGGGGGGGGAAGCGGGTTGCTCTGGGGAAGACCCGGGGCGGAATCTGGAGAGGATGCGGCGTCTCTGCACAGTGCGCACGCGCGCTCCACGCAAGGGAAAATTTTACCTGTGGCGCGCGGAGTTTTGCATGGAGATTGTTCCATCGATGCGGCGTTCAAACTGGCGTGCCGTGTGTGTAAACGGGGTGGCTCCTTCCATTTATGTCCAAAGCAATATCAATAGCCCTTAGACTTATATACCGCTTCACAGTGCTTTTACAGCCCTTTCTAAGCGGTTTTCAGAGTCAGCCTATTTGCCCCCAACAATCTGGGTCCTCATTTTACCCACCTTGGAAGGATGAAAGGCTGAGTCGACCTTGAGCCTGGTGGGATTCGAACTGCTGAACTTCAGGTAGCCGGCAGGCAGCAGAAGTAGCCTGCAGTACTGCACTTTAACCACTGCGCCACGTTTATTTTTCTCTCTTATTTTCCTTCTTGCCTTTTCCTTCTCTTTCCTTTATACCTCGCTCCTGCATCTTTCCTCTTCTATGCACTGGGGGTAAAGAGTAAAAGGAAGTGGGCTGGCTGATTTATTACAAGTAGTGCACACCCAACGGCCACAATTGAACCCAAAATTTATTTTTGTAGGTGAGACATTTGTTAATGGAGTTTTATCCCATTTTTACGACATTTCTTGCCACAGTTGTTACTGGACTTGTTAATAGCTCATGAGTTGGAAGCAACCGTGTCTGGGTCTCACAACTAAGGCTCTGTGCCTCCTCCAGACCTCCTCCAGACACAACACCACCCAGCTGGCTGCCACAATCACAATTGCTGGCACCAAATCCTAGAAGTTAACTTTAAGGCTGCATGTAAAAGTATTTACCTGTGTTGATCCTGACTCTGTCAAGGGATGATCTGATGTCCTAATCTAATCTTCACTCTGCTTACTGGTACCATCTTTGTGCCATGCACACTTTTATATATTCCTCCTTGATTTTTATTTTATTTATATCCTGCTGTAATATTTTTTTATACACAATTCAAGGCTCCTTCCTTCTATTTCCCCCACAGCAATAATCTTCTGAGTTGGGTTGAGAAAGAGAGACTGGTCCAAGGTCACCCAGCCTGTTTATTTGGCTAAGGTGGAACTAGAACTCACTGCCTCCCAGTTAATAACCTGGTGCCTTAACCCAGAAGTCTCCAAACATGGCCACTTTAAGCTGTGTAGACTTCAACTCCCAGAATTCCACAGCCAGCCATGTTGCCTGGGGAATTATGGGAATTGAAGTCCACAAGTCTTAAAAGTGGCCAAGTTTGGAGACCCTTGCCTTAACCACTAGACCAGACTGGCCTAAATCCTCCGTTGCTTTACTTTTGGTTGTCTTGTCACACCTTTCCTAACAACATTGTCCCCTTCTTAAGAGACCCACACACCCAGAATATTCCTAGCAATGATTTCACCAGAAATGAACCATAAGGATAAGTTAGTCCTTTAAGCTCCTTTCCTTAAGTGACCCTGAGCATGGAGTCCTTGTCATTGGGCAGACTTTGTGTCACCACAAAGCATGGCTGGCTGACGTGATCACTTGCAAATACAAACATCTTCAAGCCATCCGCACCCAGGCCACCCCTGAAACCTGCCCTGCCCTGCGTCCTTTGAACTCTGCCCATAAGAGATGCTGTTGGATAAGCACCTCCATTAAATTCATTGCATGCCAGCGTGGAGGGGAGGAAGCTGTAAATACAAGCATTCCAGAGGAGAAATCTTCCTAATGTAGCTAATGTAAATGTAATTCAATGAGAATAGGAATAGAGTAAGAATAAGAATGGAACGGAACAGAACAGAACAGAATAGAATAGAAAATATGGAATGGAATGGAATGAAATAGAATAGAATAGAATAGAATAGAATAGAATAGAATAGAATAGAATAGAATAGAATAGAATAGAATGGAATGGAATGGAAAAGATGGAATGGAATAGAATGGAATGGAATGGAATAGAATAGAATGGAAAAGATGGAATGGAATGGAATGGAATAGAATAGAATAGAATAGAATAGAATAGAATAGAATAGAATAGAATGGAAAAGATGGAATGGAATAGAATGGAATGGAATAGAATGGAATAGAATAGAATAGAATAGAATAGAATAGAATAGAATAGAATAGAATAGAATAGAATAGAATAGAAAATATGGAATAGAATGGAATAGAATAGAATGGAAAAGATGAAATGGAATGGAATAGAATAGAATGGAAAAGATGGAATGGAACAGAACAGAACAGAACAAAACAGAACACAACAGAATAGAATAGAATGTAGGAAGGGACCTTGGAGGTCTTCTAGTCCAACCCCGCTTAGTCAGAAACCCTATACCAGTAGTGGCAAACCTTTTTCAGCTCCCGTGCCAATAATTGCACACACGCTCGTGCGCTAGCGCTCATGTGCCAGCACCCAGAAGTAATGTGTGCTGGCTTCCCCCACATCCCCTGCGCCTGCACACGTGATCCCCTTGTGCACCACATGTCTGCGCCTGCGCGCACACTTCCCCTTTCCGTGCACCATGTGCATGCATGCCGAATCATCCCCCATGTGCTGCGCAAGTGCATGCAATCCTGCCTGCCATCCATCCGTGCATGCATGCACGATCCTGCCTTGCGCCTTGCGCCTCTGCACATGCATGCACGACACCCTTGCGCATGCTACACATCTCTGTGCATGTGCATGTGTCTCCCGTGCACCCCCTGCCCTCTTCCACCCATGAGCACCAGATACCCAACAATCAGCTGTTGGGCGGTGGCGCGCACCCATGTGCAATGGGGCTCTTCCGGGCGAGCTCTCATGTGCCGGGGGAAATGGCTCTGCATGCCACTTCCAGCATGTGAGGCATAGGTTCGCCATCACGGCCAGGGGTGGGATTCAAATTTTTTAACAACCGGTTCTGTGGGCGTGGCTGTTGGTGGGTGTGGCTTGGTGGTCATGTTATTGGCTGGGTGTGGCCAATTCAACATCACTCACATCGAGGCATGCATCTCCTTGCCTGGCTTCTCATGACTGTGGGGATGCTGCAACAGTCGTAAATGTGAAAAATGGTCATAAGTCACTTTTTTCAGTGCCATTGTAACTTTGAATGGTCACTCCACACAAGCAAAGTACCAACAAAGGAGGGGGAAAAAACTCCAGAGATGTTCCTGAGACAGGAAGTCTAGTCCTGCCAAGAATGTAATAAGGGTTAACGGAGAGGCAGTTTCTGTAAGAAATACCAGAATGTTTCCTTCCTGCCTTCCTTACAGGATTAGACCAGTAATTTCTTCTAACAACCGGTTCTCCGAACTGCTTAGAATGTTAACAACTGGTTCTAGTGAGTAGGTGTGAACTGGAAGAATCCCACCCCTGATCACGGCCCTATACCATTTCAAACAAATAGTTATCCAATCTCTTCTTAAATAATAAAGTTTGTTAAAATGAGCAAATTGTTAACCTCTTTGTTGATCTATCCGCTGAGAGATTCTTGTGGCCCTTATTAGATATATGAGGGTGCAAGTTTATTTTGTCCCAGAACGTTAAGTCATCCCAAAACGAAGTGCCAGCCTGCCTCTATTGAATAAGTATGTGCCAAAGTGCGAAACACTGGAATCCTTTCAGAAAGGGAGACTCGGTCTTAGGCAGGGGATAAAAAAAATCCGAAACCAATATATTCAGAAAACGATGCCAACTCTGCCAGTCTGTTATTTTAGATTCCTATCTTTGGGTGGTGATCTTTTAAGATGTCCTTAATTGACCGGTTCTTCCTCTGGCTTGTGGAAACTTAAGTGAGTTGTCTTAATGTTAGGGGAGAAACCACAGCAGCATCTCCATAATTTCGTGATTTAAAACACCTTAAGAAGAGAAATGCTAAATTGCTGATGGACTTCAGAATATCCTCTGTCTCAAGTGCCTTTCAAACTGTCTACACGGGGACCATCAAAAACATCCTTCTGTTTTATCTCAATCTGCTAGGGACTTCGGGGTAGGACAGTGTTCTGAGTTGAGAAGAAGCCAGAACCCATGGAGAATTCGGATAGGGACAACCTAGCCACATGATGGCGAACCGATGGCATGCGTGCCACAGGTGGCACACAGAGCCCTCTCTGTGGGCATGCAAGTTGTTGCCTCAGCTCCGCTGTGCAGGCGCGCGCATCTGCCACTGGCCAGCTGGTCTTCAGGTCTGTCACCTATGCGTGGGGGGCGGGGTACATGCATGGGATGGGGCATAGGCACAGGAATGTGTGCGCATGCATAAGGACAGGGCGCATGTGTGGGGATGAGGCGCATGTGCGGGGGACGTGTGTGCATTACATTTTGGGGTGCTCATGCACACTTTGGGCACTCGGTGCCAAAAAGGTTAGCCATCACTGGCCTAGCCCCAGTTTGACATGGCAGTATTCAGTATTCAGAGAAAGAGAGAGAGGGGGGGAGAGGGGGAGAGAGGGAGGGAGAGAGAGGAAGGGGGCGAGCGAGAGAGGGAGAGGGAGGGAGAGAAAGAGGGAGAGGGGGGAGAGAGAGGGAGAGAGGGAGAGAGAAGCTGGAGAATTCTGGGAGTTGAAGTCCACAAGTCTTAAAGTTGCCAAGTTTGGGGACCCCTGAAACAGACAGATAGATGATAGATGAGAAAGAAAGCCATGTTGGTGAAATAAGCAAACAGCCAAACCATTGTCTTAAGAGAAAATATTACATAAGCCATCCAGAGGTAATTAAGGGTTGCTTTAGTTTATTGAAACCTAAAGATTATTACCTCCTTAGCAAGGTAGGAAGGTAGAATTGCTCTCAGCTCCACCTCTCCTAAATTAATTACAGCCAAAGCCTGATCCTTCAGCATAATATTTAACTA